TCAGAATAGACTACACGATAATCTGTATCACAACTTGAGTCAATATCGATTAGCGAAAGAGTATCAGTCTTTCGCATATGTCGGCATGTTGGGTGATCTTCGGCGACTACTGTATCAAACACGACACCCCTCGGCTAATGCCGCATTCAGAAGACTGTAACCTGCACCACAATCCCACTAGAGCAACTGCCACCACTGTCTCACGCTCTCCCTGACTGGACGCAGTTAACACTAATCCTGGCTGGCAACTGGGAGTTCTATGCACAATAATTCCTTCGATCTGCTGCCCTCTGCCTTCATCTAAATCCTTAGATTTGACCTGATGATTATAGTGCTCCGTGGGCACCCAAGGCTTACACGTCACAGAACTAGTAAGCAGAAAATTCGCCAGGAAAGGAACTGGCGCTGGTTGAGCCTTAGCTCTAAGTGAGCTTTCTGATATGTTCCTGTTTGGGCATAAAACCGAGGCCTGACTCAGAAAAATCCGAGCAATAAGCACCTCCTTGTGTTCAACCCTGCTATCACAGTCCTATCTGAGTTCATCCGCGAGACGCTTATCTTCTCGCTGGTAAGTGGCTAGGACTATCGTTTAAAAGGACGAAATTCCCTGCATCCAGGTGTTAAAAATGCGCAATGAACATAATGGTAGAAAGAGTATCGCAGGACCAACCAACAGCGCGATACCCAGTAAGGACGGAATTAGACCACTAACATGTCAATATAGTACTCTAAATAAGTTAGTAGCTGTGTATGTTTGTTCTTTTCCGCAGAGCGACGGCCGCTCGTTTCTCACCTGCAATGAGGCAAAAGACGTCTTTTTTTGAATTTTCGTTCTGTCTTCATGCATTTCCTGGCCACCTTTTTTTACCAATGCGACAAGCAAAAGTATTCCCTGGTCTTTTCATGAAAAACGTGAAAATACATCGACATGCATCTTCACAGGCAGTTGTTTCCGACTTGCTCACTTGAGGACCCTTGATCGACTTCCGCAGGTGCGCGCACACATCCGTCCAAAATGCCAGGGCAGCCAAAGGGCCACTTGAACACACCACCCCTCAGGCGATGCAGCAGCGGCCATTATACACAACACCCACCCAGGTAATTCAGCACACTACTTGAAAAGGAGCTCCTACCTCTCTTACACACAGACACAGACAGTTTCTCAGGCCTGACTACACAAAGTCAACATCAGTCTAGGCTGTGTCAGTGACTACTGCTGCCTAAGAGAACAATTCAGGTTTTTGTGCACAATAAAGCCCTCATTATGGTGACGTCTGGCTTTTAGGAAGAGTAGTAGCGCGCTTCCATCACATCGGGGTCACCAAGTGATAGGGTATTTAAGCACAACCACTGCTTACACTCCATAAAGATAAGTCCGAGAGCATTAGTAGAGAGACAGAGAGAGACAAACAGTAATGACCTTGGGAGATCCGCGACCTATACTCCTCAAGAGCAGTGTTAACGAGCTGTGATGTGCTGATGACGCTGTCTGAATTAGCTCCAGTGAAATCAGAGCCAGCAAAGGCCTGGTCGGCCGCCG